TGTTTTTTTTTTTTTTTACTATTTTCTACCATTTAGATGATTAAATTATCAGTCAGTAATAAAAATATTCATTATTTATTCATATATACTATAATTGCTTCCTATCATCCACTAATATCCTCTGAGAGCCACTATGAGAGAAGTTTTCTCTGTCATAGATCCAAATAAAGTCAAGTAACTTTGTTTTTGCTGTACTGTTTCAACAAACGAGCATAAGGTGGCCGTTTTTTGTTTTTTTTTACTATTTTCTAATATTTTGTTGACCAAACCATCAGTATTTGCAGCACTGACTGTTCTGTTTTCACTAAATATGCTACAATTAGTGCTTTTTAGCCACTAATATCCTCTGAGATCCACTGTGACAGACGTTTTCTTTGTCATAGATGAGAATAAAGTCAAGGAACACTTCTTGGGGGCTATTGTTTGGACTAAAGTAGCAAAAAAGAAGGCTTTTAAGAGCATGAAGTGGCAGTTTTTCACTATTTTCTAATGTTTTCTTGACCAAATTATCAGTCAGTAATAAAAATATTCATTATTTGAGCCCTGACAGCTTCATTTCCACTAAATGTGCTGTAATTCCGTATCTATATTCACTAATATCCTCTGAAACATGAATCTGGGCCCTTTGCTTTGCCTTGCAGGTGAACCAACTCTCATCTTCTTACCTTTTGGCCTCCTCCAGGTGACACAGGTACTCATAGGCCATGTTCTGCTGCCGCCGCTCATCCATCTCCTCCGCCGTGAGCCGCTCGACAGCATCCAGGACGGCTGCAGCCACAAACACCCACAAAACGACACGTTCTCATTTTCAAAAATCAGGAAAAAAAGGGGCAATGAATGACTGAATAAAAAACTAAACGTGACAGTCAGGATGTGCTGCTGCAGACACAGCAACAGGAGAACGTTTGAGATTCTGGTCGCAGCTGTTTTGAGTTGCATAACTGACAAAATGTTTCCATGCAGCTACGTGGCTTCTGCAAAAAAAAAAAAACTTCCACAAACGGAGGTGTCTCAGGGAGGCAGCCAGCCTTGTTTATTAGTCATCTGAGCGGCTCATGAGCTCAGAGTGTTGGACTGAGTGATGTGGGCATGCCTGCATCTGTACGTGACGTGCTCATTCATACACCCAGAACAGAAAACAATGCAGCGGACGTTATGGGGCGATTCCCGGGAGATTAGAGTCTGCAGTCTGCAGAGCCAAGGCTCCCCAAAGCAAGTTTTTCCCAAATTATGGAGAGTGAGTGGGGGTGGGGTGGTGGGGGGGGGGCGTGCAATACAAAGAGGCCTCTTTCTAAGCCTCCTGTCACAGCTGAGGTGGGAGAGTGAAGCCTGGATGGGATCACAGGCCACTTCCTCAGCAGGTAAAACAGGATTTTAACCAAAACTGGAGGCTGAGAGGAAGAAAAACTCCAGAAATGGCTTTTTTAAACACTAATCTGTCGAGCTGAGTAACCTGATTCTTGTTTTCCACAGTTGATGGAAGCATTAAAGTGGTCCAGTTCATTTAATCTCTTCAAACTTTGCCTCAAATCATTTAATTTGATGAATCCATCTGTATGTAGAAACAAACTAGCAGTAGCAGACAGTTTTTTGGCATTTTCTAGACAAAATCCAATCAAATTCATTCATACAGAAACTTTAAGAAGTTTCTTTGCACATCTATGACGGTAATCTGAACATTTCTGACATGTGAAAACTTCATCTTGAGTTCTGGGAAACACTGACAAACAGTTTTCACCATTTTCTAGACAAAATCTAATCTAATTTACTTTAAAAACAGCTGCACGTCACCAGACAGGCAGCAGTAACAGTTTTTGTGCAATTTTGTGTAAGCATGAAGAGGATAGGAAGGGTCAAACCTAGAAAATCAATTAGTAAAGCTAAATTAATGGTATAAGATACTAAATATTTATGGGATTCGCCTGCTGAGCAACCCGCTTCTTGTTTTCCACACTTGACAGATGCATGAATATGACTAGGAGGCGACTTTCTCAGCAGGTAAAACGTGATTTTAACAGAAACTGGAGGCTGAGAGGAAGAAAAACTCCAGAAATCGGGCTTTTCCACCACTGATATGTGGTCAGAAATGAAAAAAAAACACTGATCACAGCTTTGTTCCCCACAGCTGATGGACACATAAAAGGATCCAATTCATTCAATTTCTAAAAACTGTTCCTCAGAATCAGCCAGAACCTGATCTCTGGGCGTTGGTTGTTAATGTGATGGTTTCATGTCTCTGTAGAAGCTAAACTTCCTGATTAAATGCTGATTAATCCGGTTTTGGACCATTAGTGAAGCAAACTGTTGAACTAACTTGTGCGCAACATGTAAAGTTGTGTGAAGTGTGAAAGCAGGCCTCCTCCCTCCTGCTGCTTCTCTGCGATGCTTTATTCTAAAAACGCGGAAGTCATAATTGGGCAGAAAGCATGCTGTCAGAAGTGGAAAGAAAGAAAAGAAAAAAAAAACTGTGCGCGCTTCAGAGAAACCACCGAGTTTTTCTTGAAGTTGACTTTGCAGCAGCAGCAGCAGCAGCGGGACGCGGACGGCTGCTCCCGGTGTGGGATGCATGAGAAGGTGAGCAGAGAAAAGTGTGAACTTACAGCCATATCTGGGCCGGAGTCCGTCCGTCTCCTCTGAAGTTGACATCCTCCTCTAGACAAACTCTCCGCGCTGCGCTTCAGTGACAACACAAACTTTTACGCGCAGCCTGGAGTCCAAACCGTCCGCAGCCGGAGCACAAAACGCCGCAGTGAAGCTGAGAAACGCCGCCCGGGACCTTTCGGCCCTCCAGTTCCTCCTCTGCACAGACGTTGGAGACTTTTTTCTTCTTCTTCAAACCTCCCTGATGTCACTGGGTGTGTTCTTCCTAATCCTGAGCTATGCGTTTCAGGAAACCGAGCTGAGCAGCCTGCAGGCGGACAAACTGCTGCCGCAGCGCCGCCTGGTGTCCTCTGAGGGCCAGGAGGTTCAAACTGAGGCCCGGGAGCCTTCAGGGGCCGCGATGAGTCACTATAAAGTTCATAGTATTTACAATATGCATCTCAAACATCAATAAAACAGAGACCCAGAGTCATAAACCCATCACATGACACGATGTTTTCTGTTTTTTATTGTTTCTGTGTGATTGTTGCACTGTTGGCTGCATAGAAAATTATAATAATAATATCATAATAAAGACTAATTGAACCTTAAACATTGATGACAGACTATTTTGAACAAAAAAGAGAAAATAAATCTGCTCCTGACACCTTAAATACTACTTTTCTCATTCATATGTTTTTAAGATTGTAAATATTTGATCTGCCTGGCCAGTTTTAAAATGTGATACTCAGATGGTCTCTATCTTCTTCTTTTATATATAATAATAATAATAATATAATATGAACTTTATTTACACAGGACCTTTAAGAACAGCGTTCACCAGGTGCTCAGACAGTGAAAACATGCAACGAGGAGACAATCAAGGAAAGAGACAAAAAATAAATAAAAATAAAAATCTGCACAAGGCTGCGCAATTTTTCAAATATTGATCACAATTATTGCATTGCATAGTTAAATGAACGTGATCAATTGTGATATATATATTTCATTTTTTTTCTAAATGCTCCACTTATAGAAAACAGTCCAAACAGATAAAATCATTTAGTTTCAACGTTGGTAAATCTGGCATTAAAACAAGGATCCACCTATTGTCTCCCTGGTCGATCATATATACTCAACATTTTTCCATTGATTGGTTTCAGAATCATTTTAACTGATTTTCAGCTATATAAATGATTTGCAAATACACGACTTTTCTTTGATGCAACCAACTCTTGTTACCAGTAAAGCAAAGAAATGCAAATAATTCTGTGAACCTCTTTCACACTTACTTTTAATCCAAAAGTTTATGAACTGTAATTTTAATGTAGTTTGTGCTGCAGTCTGTTATTTTCTACATGATTTACTTTCACTTTTACTCAGAGACATCAGTTCAGTACATCAGTCATCGACCTCCTTGATTATTAACAATCAGTCCACCACTAGTTTAAATCCTGTCGTGACAGACACTAACCTCCTTTATTTAAACCACAGCGCTGCTTTATCTCGTGTGAATCCTTTTAATTAAAACATCTTTTAGTTTCTGTTTCAGCTGCTTCATGTTCTCTGCAGTTTTGTTTTTTTTTAGCAGTTCATAGACGACATCAGTGATTCATGACTGATATTTTAAACTCTGCTGTCAGGCTTCAGTGATCGGTGCGGTTCCACTTTCCTCCCATCGGCCTCTTCAGCTTCTGTTCATTCATCAGTTTGTGATTTCTAATGTTTCTCAGACAGACGCTCAAAATGTTTCCACGCTTGCATTTAAACCAAAAGTCCACAACATTTGGTGAACGTGAACGTTGTTGAAAACAGCTAACCAGTGGTTCAACACTTCAAATCTGGACAACACACCACATATTCTAATAATATATCACTTCTCTCTGTCGAGGACCTCCTTCTTTTATCCTTCAACTACTCAAACTTCAGCCACAATACAACATTTCAGATTCTTACCAGTCACTCGTCAGATTCTCGTTGGATTTATGTCTCTGTTTAATTAAAGTACTCCTCATTAAAACGTATCCAAAACATTATGGTGAGCTCATGACCTGTACATAATGATAAATAATGATGTGAACCTGTCTGCCTCTTAAGAATTCACTGATTCCACTGGAGAGGTAATCGATTCATTGATTGGTTGTCAGCTCTTTAATTAGTCACCAACTAGTTTGACAAAAGATTCATCAAAGTAAAAGAGTCATCAAATAAAGTCAAAGGAGATTTTCTGCACTCACAGAATCTTGAGCTGCAGTAATTAACAGATTAGTTTTCAAATGCTAAATTAATTTGTTTAATAAATTACTAGAAATTAGTGTTAGTAATCGGTTCGAATTGTACTTAAGAAAAAAGTCAAACTCAAGGTTCAAGGTTCAAAAATCCTTAATATCCCCATGGGGAAATTTTTGTGCAGCCAGCGATGCAAACAGTCACTGCCACAATCACACAGGCAACAACAACAATAAACAACAGAGAAAAGACCGATCACTTAGTTAACAGGGAAATAGCAGCAGGGACAAAAGAAAATGTATATCTATTGGTCCTGCACTTTGGCAGGACATACCTGCACCCCAGTGGAAGTAATTGGAACCAGTGGGCCAAGGGATGGCTCTGGTCTGCGGTGATTAAACGGGCCTTGGCTAATAACCTGGTTTGATGTCAGGCTGCCAAGTTATTTAGGTTAGTCCCTGCTGTCTTTCCACACAGTCTCACAATACCTTGTAGACTGGTTTTGTTTTTAAGAGTGAGGGAGCCGAACCAGCAAATAAAAGAAAAACTCCTCTGAATAGTTCTGAAACGTAAAATAAATAATGACGTGGATTTAATCTCTTCCTCTGCAAAAATGAAAAGTAGACAATGTGAGAATGAGAATGTGACTTAAAGGTTAATATATATTACAATGTAAAAAATAAAAATCAAATGTATTAACTGAAAATTTATTCCAATAAACCTGAAACTGAATGTAGTTTGAAATTAAATTATTTTGTTTTGTATTATATTTGATCTGCACTGAATTGGAATACAGTTTCAACATAATGCATTAAAATTCTAATTATAAGACATAAATTTACATTTTTTTGTGTAAATTACTCAAGTTAAACAATTCAAATTCAAATGTAAATCATTCAAATTCAGGTTCTGGTGCCACAAAGTTCTGCCCACGTTGCAGCCACTGCTGTAATAACGCTGCTTTGTTCCTGTTTCAATGAATTTCAGTTCATTTGACTTTTGGTGGAGAATCATGTCTGGTCCAGGTGTTTGAGGAAAGCAGGAAACAGGATCCAAAGTGGGCGAGCGGGAAGAGTTTTATTTACATTTTATGCAAAAACAGGCTTTAAGGCTGTTGGGAGGCGGAACAAACGGGAATCAGGATTAACAAACTGTCCTGAAGGGGAAAAAAACAAATCAGTTTCACATTTAGAGGATTTTATTTGTTTGTTTACTCTCGTACAGGCCAACTATTGTGCTTCAGACCGCCTGAATCTGTTGTTTTAATCATCCATAATGAGGCAGAGTTTCAGTCCTACAGGTGGATCTGTTCACTGTAGAGAACAAAAATAAAACCAAAAGTATAAATCTATCTATCTATCTATCTATCTATCTATCTATCTATCTATCTATCTATCTATCTATCTATCTATCTATCTAATCTTCTGGGTCAAAAATATACATACATCAACTTCAGTGATCAGCTTTGGTGATTAAAAGTTGTGTTAATTAAATGTTCTTAGTGGTCGGACTTCTTAACTTGTCATGACTGATTACATCTGACTACAGCTGCTGATTCCTCTGAGTTTATTTAAATAAAGTCCCATCTGGTCCACCTATTAGACTCAGTGACAAACACTAGGCAGTGGTAAAGTCTGAGCAGCTCAGCAAAGATCTGAAAACACAAATCATTGACTTGAACAAGTCAGAAAAGTCACTTGGAGTCATTTCATGCAGCTTCGGATCCCAGAATCATCTGTACAGACAAGTGTTTGTGAGTACAAGCTGTGCTTTTGTATAACTGCCACAATCAGGAAGAAAACACAAACTATCATCTGCTGCTGAGAGACGACTGGTCAGGATGGTCAACAAGAATCAGCAGAAAGCAGCTCTGTAATGAATCAGAAGCTGCTGGAACACAGCTGTCAGTGTTTTACATCAACATGAGCTGAGAGGCTGCAAGAAGAAAGAAGTTCTTCCTCTAGAAGCAGAACCTTAAAGCTCCACTGAAGTGTGCTGCTGATCACAGTGAGAAAGAAAAGACCTTCTGGAGGAAAGTTCTGTGGTCAGATGGAACAAAAATGGAGCTGTTTGTCCACAACTACCAGAAATATGTTTGGAGGAGAGAAGGTGAGGCCTTTAACCCCAAGAACACCAAACCTACCTTCAAGCATGGAGGTGGCAGCATCATGCTCTGGTTCTGTTCTGCTGCCAGTGGAACTGGAGCTTTACACAAACTAAATGGAATATTAAAGGAGGAGGATTACCTCCACATTCTTCAGGAAAACCTACAACCATCAGCCAGAAGGTGGATCTTGGACACGGTTGGGTGTTTCAATAAGACAATGACCCCAAAACACTCATTGAAAATGGTAAAGAAATGGATAAACTAGACTAGAATCAAAGTTTTAGACAGGCCTCCTCTAAGTCTGACTTAAACCCATTTAGAACCAGTGGGCTGAGATGAAGCAACAAGTGTGTGTGAGAAAGCCAACACATTTAGTTGAACTGCACCAGTAGATAGAAAAATAGATTACTTTCATCCTCTTTGGGAAATTCAAGGTATCCAGTAGCAGTAGTACCACCAGAAAACAATGTTATGATGATTTATTATTAGTTTTACTAGTGAGAAGGTTATTATTAATAGAACTGCATTAAGTTGGGAGCTGATGAATTTGAATGATTCTGTAAATTGCTCCAGAATGCACATTTTCATCACATCTTACCGAGACTCAGCGTGAGAAAAGAAGAAGTGAGAGCTGGTGGGTTCATCCTGCCTCCACGCCAGACTCTCCTCCTGCACGTTGCTCCCTCCGCGGCCTCCGGGCGGGGCTTCACACCCGCTATAAGAGCGCAGGAGGTCCGGGAGGCTGCAGGGAGAAGCTCCTGCTGCGACCCTCCGTTTCTCCAGCCCTCATCTGCTGCCTCCTACCGGGACTCCGCCCTCCTCCACCGGGACCTCCGCCCTCCTCCACCGGGACCTCTGCCCCCCCTCCACCGGGACCTCCGCCCTCCTCCACCGGGACCAGCACCATGGAGAGCTCCGGGACGCTCCGCGGGCTGCTGCTGCTGCTCGGCCTGCTGTCGGCTGTGTGTCACGGGCAGGTTTCTCAGGAGGTTTCCGAGGAGTTTGGAGAAGATAAAGCAGAAGCAGCTGCAGACAGAGACCTGGTGAGTTTGTGGAGGAATGTCAGGAATCTTTGAGGCTCCTGGATCCTAAAGTAGAGAAAAAAAACTCCAATAAATGGCCTGTGTGGGATGAAGTTTATGTCTTATTAAGCTGATGTGCATCTGAGCAGCTGGAAGGGGAGAAAATGAAAAGTAGTTGTAGATGCTCAGACTTTTTTTTGTTGTGTGCACGTCTTTGTTATTAATGTGGATTTTTAAAAAAAGAAAAAAGAGTTAAACTTCTTGAGTGCATCTTAAAAAAAAATACATGCAAGTTGCAGGAAACATGAACAATATTTTGCAACCAGTTTTATAAATAAAAAATGTTGCATGCTGTAGATCCGAGTCTGGTTTGGTTTGATGTAAATGTGAAATTTTCTTTAAAGTTCATCATGGTATTTAAAGTTAGATTATTTCCAACATTTCTCAACCTCTTAAACCTACATAGAATTATCTGAACTCTTAACTGAGATGTCAAAGTTTCTAAAGACACCCAACATGTGAAGCTTAATTTGGGAGGATTTGTATAAAATGTTGCACAATGTATGTTCAATATTCTCAAATACTGCAGCGTGTTGGGTTTGGACATTACCTAGAAGAAGAACTGCATCATTTATTTTATCATGCAATTATCGTGATTTTCTAAATCCTAAGAATCACATTTCAAAAATGTTGTTTGTTAAAAGAATCCCTTTAAGCAGTTTTGCAGAGGCTGTTCTTCCTGGCAAACACTAAAACCTTCATATTTTAACGAAGCACCGCAACAGCCGACAACAGAACATTACAAAACAAACAAGGACAAGACAAGCTCCATCCATGCAGTAATCATGATACATAAAGTGCACTGACTTCATAAGGAAAGGTATCAAATCGAGTTGTCTTTACAGTTTACAGACTACTTTGCATTGTGATATAAGTTTTAGTTTACTGAAACACACTGATGGAGACACTGCAGGTCCATTAGATTCAATTCCCCCACTCATAGAAATCACGATGAAACTTCTCCAGTTGACTGTTTCCATTTGTATTAAAAGTTTTCTGAATTTTTATGATTAAATGTGGAAATATTGTGTTATCTTGGAACATAAATCTGAACTACAGATAAAACCATCTTCATAATGTTATTACTTAATCATTCTGTTGATGTTTCGGAGTCAAAGATTCTTACAGGGGGATTTAGACATCTGTTTTAGTCACTAAATCCTTTTCCCACCATGCTTCTGATAGTAAAATGTTTTATAAATCTGACCAGGAACAACATAAACATCTCTGTGAAACTTTTTAGAATACAGACAGGAATAAAACTGGAAAGTCTGCTGAAGTGGCTCAGACTGCTTTTTAACACATGTATCGTAAAACACTATAGTTTTCAATGGAAAGTGCAGTTTATTGGTTTTAAAATAACACACATCCCCATGAAACTTAGCCAGCGGATCACTCACATCATGACAATTACTTTTATGCTGCAAAATTGTTAAAATGCTCTGTTTAAATATGCAAATAAGGTATCATCTTATTAAATATGCGCCAATTTGCAGTAAAATAAACACTTCAATGTGTATTTTATTTTCCTACCAGCCTGAAAGAAAACATATTATGGATGCCAAATAATCCAGAATCTGAAAATTGGACAGTGCATGAATAAAAATAGGTTTTTCCTGCAGTTTCTCGCCTGAATGTAGCCTGATTGTATTTGATTACTTTAATACTGCTAACTGTATTTCAGATTGTTGTTATCAATCATATTCACTCCAGTGTGTTATTCGTCTAAAGCGCCTCCAGGGCTACGTTTAGGGCTGCGTTTGAAAGTTTATTCAGTTGACACGAACAAATATTCTTCTTCTAGATGTGACGCCTTCCCTTAAACTTTTATTTGTTTTTGTGTTTCCTCGTCAGATTGAAGCGCTGGAGGCTCTGCTGGGCCGGGCGCAGAACCGACTTCCCTCCACGGAGAAGAGAGGCAGCATCCCTCTGGTGACTGCTTTCACTCTAACATCAATCCAGTCAGGGTTCTGTATTGCCAACATCGCTCCGGTGCCGTTTAATTAAAGCCCTTAGTAAAAGATACCTGCCACTAATTAAAAGATAACAAGAAAATGCCAACGACAGCGTTTCACTCGGTGCAGTTACGAGACTAATCAAGAAACGCTGCACTGCTGCAATTAGCTGGAGGAGGGAAAGCTGCAAAAACCCTTCAATCCTCCTGTGAAAACAAATCAGCCTGTTAGCTACAGATTGAGCTAATGAACAGGATTTAATTAATTCACCCTGCCTTGTTTTCATTCTCACTTTTTTTTTATGTTAAATCAATCAGACAGCATTAAGAAGAAGAATTAGAGTCATTAATCAAAGTAAATGAAGCCACGTGGAGGACTGTTTGCTCCAAAATGAAGAATGATGAAGCTTCTCATTGTCATTTAGCACCAAATATTCTGTCATAAACGACTCTAGGATTATTGATCAGACTTCATTCCTCCTCTCCTCAGTGCGGGATGGGCGACCGCTGTGCCATGAAGTTCGGGCCTCGCATCGGGAAGCTCTGCGACTGCGGAAGAGGAGCAAACTGCAACTCCTACCTGCTCAAATGCATCTGAGGACTTTGATTTTTTTCGCCACTGCAGGACCAAACGTCATCCAGCAGGCAGCACATAAAGCAGACCAGCTCCACCTCTCGGCCTCCGTCTGCGTCTAACATCATCATTTATCTTTTATTATTACAGCGTTATTGTTGCCTGAGGAGAAGCATGGATTTTATACTGCTGACAGTCGTGGTGATGCTCTGTGGCATGTGAATGTTTCATGTTCAATAAACAGTTATGTCAACGTACGTTTGTGTCGTTTTATTTATTCACATTGACTCTGGATTTGGTTCACGTTAAATTTCAGGGATTCTACAAGTATTTTAGAACACTGCCATCATTCTGGCCATCAGTCTTGCAGTGAGAATCATTTTTTAACATTATATTTAAAAAAAGATGCAAATTAAGTTGTACAAACATCATTCTAATATCTGTTTTCATTGGGAATGAAACAGTTTTGGTTTCACTCTCTTTCACATGTGACTTCTTACTCAAAGGATGTTTGCATAAAAGCATCCGTTACAGCAGACAGGATGTGTGCTCAGCTGTGTAAATGAAAGCTCTTCCGCAAAACCAGAGTCTGTCTCATGTCAGTCATACCACAAAAACGCTTTTTGTTGTTGACAAAAGATCAGCAGGTGGCGTTTCAGGTGACCGACGAGCTACTGTTGCGCCGTAAACACACTGTGAAGGTCTGCATGTGTGCTTTAGTGCTTTGCAAGGCCGCAATAAATTGAAAAACTTGGAAATGGTATTTCATCTCTGTTTTGTTCTCCACCAACTCCTGAGAAACATATGTTTCTCTTTAGCTCATAGAAGTTCCACTTCTTTCACCGCCTTACTCTTATCTGTCTGTTGTTTATCATGAAGCAGGTGGTGTAAAACGATTTTATCTCAGCTGGTTTGCTGGAATCTACAGAAAAGAAAAATGTGCTGTAAAAAAACAAATCAATGATCTTCAGGAGGGTTAAAAGCTGCATAGAGCTGCAGAGATGGTGACATCTTCAGTGTTAGAAAGTACCTCAGTACATTTATTCAGATATTGTGCTTCAGTGCAGTTCAGAGGCTTCAATGTCGAGGTATCCATTCTCTTCAACATGAACAACACAGTCCTAAAAAGTCAGCTGATTATCTTCATATCTTCCCTCGTGAACTTGATGCTGCTGTCCAGAGCTGATGTGCTCCGTGAAATTTCTACGTCTAGGGTTTTGACCCAGCGATCGTCCTTCATAATCAGAGGGACCAAACCAGGACTAATCCTCAAGCAGAATTTTTCATGCAGAACTTTAACTTGTAATCGAGTATTTTTACTTTGTTGCATTGGAACTTTAACTTCATTAAAAGATCTGAAGGCATTTTCCATCACTATGATGCTTTGAGTCACATCTGATTCATTGCGTGAACAAAATCTGACTTTTATTTCAAACCGTTTGATGTCAGAGTCCAGTTTATTTTCTGCCTTCAGTATTCTGGATTTGATTGCGTATTTATTTCAGTGGCAGTTCAGACATTAACTGTTTTTATCCAGTCAAAAGGGAGACGTACAGCCACATGACCTCCTGCAGTGACTTTTGTTTGAGCGCTTTTCAAACCTCCATTAGAGCTTCTGCATCACACTGATGTCAGAGCAGCTGTTCGGCTTTTCATAGCTGATGGAAAAATAAAAAAACAGCCACTGGGTCATCACTGCTCAAGGTGGAGCCAAGTGCAACCTGCTTCACGAAGCCCAACGTGACAAACAGGATGTGTTTACGTTTGAAAGGCCAAAGCAAACAAACAAACAAACAAACCAACAAACAAACAGGAGTCAGCGTGAGGGCGAAACATGTGAGGAGGTGGGTTGAAAGCCATGGGGCGACGGAGATGTTTTGCACTTCAACTAACTGAGTTACTGTAGAGACTGACCTTTCTTGAAGTTCTGCTCTGAGTGTGTGCACCCTGCTGCTCCACACATTCAGCCACAGCTCACATGAATAAAGTCCATTCATGGGCCTTCCTGCTGGATTTCACCACAAACTGTGACAAATGAAAGCAGAGCGTCCAGCTGTGACAAAAGCCATGTTTGCTACAAATATATATGAAAACAGTTAAAGAAGCAGATGCGCGTCGCCGACACGTGCGGCCTGCAGCCAGCAGATACCAGCTTTCCGTTTGTCTTGAGTCTTAATCCACAGAACCATAAAACACTGAAGAGCTCATTTATAGGCTCTTTGGTTTCTTCCGGCTTTGGGGAAGAGATGTTGGACAAACAGCAGCGTGATGTTTCCCTCCTTCAACGCCCCGAGCAGCTCAGCCTGTAATAAAACAAAATAAAAAAAAAAAAACAAGTCAATAGTAAATGAACAGCAGCTTCCTCTCTGGATTCTGCTTGGCTCAAGCATTTTTGTGTGTTTGTATTTAGTTGCTGCAGAAAAAGCTGCTTAGTGTTTCCTAGGACAGTCGTAGTCTCTAATATAATATAATATAACATCCATCCATTATCTTAATCCTCACTAGGGTCCCGGGGGGCTGGAGTCTATCTCAGCTGACTCAGGGCGAAGGCAGGTTCACCTGGACAGGTCACCAGTCTATCACAGGACTACACTTAGAGACAGACAACCAAGCACACTCACATTCACACCTACGGACAATTTAGAATCACCAATTAACCTCAACATGTTTTTGTGCTGTAGGAGGAAGCCGGAGAACCCGGAGAGAACCCACGCTGCACGGGGAGAACATGCAAACTCCACGCAGAAAGATCCCGGGTGTCCTCACCGGGACACGAACCAGCGACCTTCTTGCTGCGAGGCAACAGTGCTACCATCTGCGCCACCTTGCAGCCAATATAATATAATATAATATAATATAATATAATATAACAGTTTATAACGCTTTTTTCCCCCGCTTGCTTTTTTTTGTATATTCTTATATAATCATTTATTTTGTGTGCTTGCTACTGTGATAAAACAATTTCTTCTGTGGTTTATTAAAGTTTATCTAAGTCAAAGTCTAATAAAAGTTAATTAATGAAAAGAGCAGGCTACTTATTTACATAATAAGGTTAAATGCTAAAATGTTGTGTAACAGCAACACAAGTGAAGACTGATGAACGCATGAATCGGCTCAGAATAATTTTCTCTTTTACAAATTTTCTGTCTGACATTTACTAATTTTAGCAAACTGTAGCTTCCATAAACTGCAAATCCCCTGGTTTTATTAGATCCATCAATGATGCCTTTCATTGCTTTCAAATAACCTTTTCATTAATACGCTTCGTCTCTTGCAAGTTACATAATTTCTCTTTAACGTGGGAGGCATTGTTACAAACATCAATAACCCTATAGGCCTGTAATCCTCCACCTCTTCAACACTATTGTCTGCTCCACTGTATTGTCTCTGCTGCTGTCCTCAGAAGCCCAGTGACGCTTCGGTGTTTTATTTTACAAGTACGTGTTCTTGACAAAAGAAGCCAAAATCTATTAATCCACATCGACTCTTTGGTTTATTTTCAGAGTTTTGACGTCATTGCAGACTGAGTGGCTCACCTGAGTTCTCTCTGTAACGCTGCTGAAGACCTGTGATTGTAAAACCAGCTTTCAGACTAAAGGCTGCTGTTTCTCAGCTCCATCCTTTAAAAGTTAGTCGGCCAGTTGATGTAGTGGCTCATGAGATACACATAAACAAACACGTGGTCAATTTAATTTGACTTTCTTGACAAGAATCTACCAAACAGGACTCGTTCATGCCAAAGTGAAACTAACTTCTACAAAATAATGTGAATGAATTCAAAATCTAACATTTAAAATAAGTGACTGCAAAAGTATTCACCCCTGCTCATCAGTATTCAGTGTTCAGCTGTAGTTACAGCATTTAGCCTCTGAATGGGTCTCAGTCAACCTGAACATCTGGACGCTGCCATTTTAACACAATCTTCTTACGAGCTCTGTCAGGTTACACTGGGATCCTGAATGAACAGCCCTGTTCAAGTCAAGCCACAAATTCCCATCTGGATTTGGGTCTGACTCGCCCGCTCCACAACATTCACTGAGTTGCTTTCAGACTACTTCTGTGTAGTTTTGGCTGTTTGCTTTGGCTCATTATTCAATCTTCTCCCAAGTCACAGTTCCCTAGCAGACTACATCAGTTGTCCTCCAAGACATTCTTGTACTTTGCTGTGTTAAATTTACCACCTACCTTTACACGCCTTCCAGAGCCCACTGCTGAGAAGCATCACCACCTAATGATGCTGCCACCACCATTGCCAAGGTTGGCGATTTGTTTGTTTTCTAATAACATGGGGATCTTTTACAGTCTCTTCTCAAACCACAAAGTCGTCCACATCTGTTGTGGCATCCACAGCCTGTTTTCTAAAGGCCACAGATCTGTCTTTAGATTCGGACATGATGGTACCAAACACTTCAACAGCAAGAGATAAGCAGAGACTAGACAGAGCTTCTAATTGGCACCTAATCTGGAACCCATTTATTCTATCCCTATTGATTTGAAGGTTTCTATCTGACCAACCTTTTAAAAATTAGCACTTAAATTGTGAAAATAGCTACAAAATGACAAGTTTATGCGTCACGTGTTTGACTGCGTCACCTTCATTGATGGGCACGATTTCAAAGGAGATAAATATTTGCTTGTTCAAAAAAAAAGTCCGCAATTTTTATTCATTTTTTCCACTTGACTGTAGACATTTATCATTGTGCTGGTGTTTGTGGGTTCAATCCAAACAGCACGATAAAAAGCAAATGATGAAACTTTTCAACATTAGTCACATCCAAAATTGACCAGTAGGGATTTCTTCTGATCGCTTTGCAGGTTAATATTGATCAGTGGAGGCTTCCTTTGTGAAAGACGGTATGTTTTTATGGTTCCCAGGAGATATAGAGACGTATGAAGCAATTACTGCTACAGGCTTTACATTACGTTTATGGCCTCTGATGTGAAAACAAAGACAGACGGAGTCATTTGGTGTCCGCCCAGAGGTGATGTTTGGAGGGTCGGCTGTTAACCTTTAACCCTGTGAT